TGGACGCCGCTTCGCAAGCGCGGCCTCTGTCAAAAGTTTCTGGCCAACTACACCGGTCCGTTTGTTGTCTTGGAACGTCTAAGCGATGTCACGTACGTGATATCTCAGCTGTTGTCAACTGGCCGCCGCTCAAGCAAGACCAACGTCGTTCATGTTGCCCGTTTAAAACGCTATCATCATCGCAACGAAGCCTAACTCGCCCGGTGGGCATCGTCTGCAAAGGGGGAATTGCTACGATACTGAGGATGCGCGTGGAAGAAGAGGAGAACGAGGTTGGCACGAGCAGTGATCGGCCAGATCCCTGGACTCTCGCATTGATCATCTCCTGTAAATAAAGGCATCCATCGCACCGTAACAATATATATATATATATATATAGTCAAGACAGGTGTTCCTGTCAAACGGCAAACGGGAGAGATGCAGAATTATTTGCAAGAAGCTCATTGGCGCTTTCAGATATTATTCTTCGACTGGTATTTTTTTACAGTGATGAAATGCGAACAATTTCGGCGGTGAAACATAAAGCGAAACACAGAAGAGTTTCATATAGCTACAGTTACGCATGAATCTACCTCGCTTCAAGCGTGTGCGTGCTGCGCTTGTGATTATAGCACGCATTGCGTAAGCATTCTGACGAAGGCAGTACTAACACTATTATTGAATTTCTTTAGCAAAGAGTGACGTCAGTCTGGTCATCCGCTCACCGGCGCTTCAGAATTTCGCATACCATCTTGCTTTTAGTTACCAGATGCCTCCATTTGGTAATTTCAAAATGGCATTGGGCTCTTCACAGGAAGGACTTTTTCCCGTTTGTCCCAATCACGTATGTGTGCTAATTATTTTGGACGCTAAACAGAAACAAATATGGCCGCTAAACAACAACAAAAAGAAAGCGACTCCTGCGTATTAGTAAAGAAATCGCAATTTTAGAATGCGGGAAACAGACTCTTATCGCCAGAAGACGTTTGGTTTGATATTGAAAAAAAAAAAAAGTGAGCTGCGACGCCACTTGCAATATCCCGCACCGAAACGCCCAGGTGTCATTGCTTTTGACAGCGCCTACTACGTAATACATAGCTTCTAACCGTTACAGATCATGCACATTGTCTTGTGAAGGGTCCGCTGACATAGCAAACCAAGTTTTATGATGTTTAGTTGAGCCAACGTCGCCAAAATGCGACAAATACATTTTGAAATCCGTGACTGCTGGTGTGGCAATTACGGCACGAAATTTAAAATGCACCTCCTCCCCATTATGTCAGTGTGTAGACAGCCGGATAGCTCCACGCTATCCGGCTGTCTTTGCCCAATATAGGGTGCGTCGGGAATTTGTCTCACAGTCTCAAAAAAAAAAAAAAAAATATCCGAGAAATGCGACATTCCTTCGATGACTGCGCAATTATTTCTTCTGTAGCCGCAGACATCCTAAAGTGGCCCTGAATTATTTTTATCGTGGTCAGAAAACGCCTGACGTACCTTCTTCTCCAGTGTTATATCCCCATCTTTACTTTAATTGCTTTCGTTGGGATGAAAGTACAAAATGTTTCTAGCTCCGCTCGCATTGGACCGATTCTAAAAAAAATGGCGGCAAGTAATTTGTAAAGCAGTGAGATCCGTTATATATTTTATGACTACTCGAAAAAGTGTTGCAGGGCCCCTTAAAAGGCTAACCCGGCGAGTTTTTGACAATGTCAGGGTAATGGCGAACTTATGTTCCTGAGACACTATTGTCACGCGCCCGATAACCGAAATGTTCAATAAGTTCAAAAATAATTATTAATTAGCAAAAAACCACATTAACGAAACCAAAACCCAACCGAGTTCGCTTCTACGTATGACGTAAAACTTTGCCAGAACGTGCCCGGTTGTGTATAACGCCACCAGATGGCACTACTTGTCCAGGCCGTCCAAGTTTGTGCCTGCGGTGATCGCTTAAAACGCTTTCGCTGTTATGGTAAATATATGGTCACTCTTGTGGGGCCCACAACTAAACACCACTTGCCACCCATCGCACGCCCACACCAACACGGAAAAGGAAATCGCACGCCCAACCAAGGGCCATACTGGCCATACCCACACAATCCATAGCAGACAAGCAAACACTGCAGTGGTACATCAATTCTGCCACATTTGCTTATCAAAAACAACGTCACACGCACAATGGTGCCAATAATTCTGGCAAGTAAAAAGAGCGTTCGGAGGCCAGCTATTAAATTTATTTGAAAAGAATCTGCGATACTCTCAAGCCTGCAATTTAGCATGAATGGCGCACACGTGCAAATGAATGTACTCAGTAAGTTTCATTGAGATCCATCGACCTCGAAAAATCGTCGGCCTTTAACATCATTTGGTTGAGTAATTATAATTAAGAAAGTTAAACTTACACAGATAAAAGGATTACTAATTTAGAGACTTGCGATCAAACCGTCCTAATTCGATTAAAAATCTTTCTACAGTGGAACAGATATCCCGGGTCATCTTCCTCTGCTTCCCTCTAACTGCTCAACTGCTCGCGCGCCCCAGCCCCAGCAGCGTCTTGCTTAGTCATATATATATATATATATATATATATATATATATATATATATATATATATATATATATATATATATATATATATATATATATATATATATATATATATATATATAAGGGAAAGAAGTGTATACCTAAGGGCTCGTTTTTCCGTGTTTTAACACAATATTAATGAGATCTAACAGACAGTAATACCAAGGAATGTACAGGGGAAGTTATTAGAACCAATGGAATGTAAATAAGAAAGAAAAGTGGATGAAAAAATAACCAGCCGTGAGTTATTTTTTCATCCACTTTTCTTTCCTATTTACATTCCATTGGTTCTAATAACTTCCCCTGTACATTTTTTGGCATTACTGTCTGTTAGATCTCATATATATATATATATATATATATATATATATATATATATATATATATATATATATATGGTGTGTGTTTGTGTTTATTAACGTTACAAAAAGGGTACAGCCAGTTTGCCGCAGCGTAGAGCGAGACGGCCATACGCTTGCGTATTGCATGTATTAGAAGCAACAGTTTTAACGAAACAATTTTATGATTCTAAAAGGTACAACCGGCTGCAAACGGCAAATGTATTTGTCTGTAAAGGGGATATATCTTGGTACGCACGGTATTTGCGTAGGTTGCTTCGCTTCTACAGCGGCAGAGTACAGCGAAGATATACCTAGCTAGGTGTGGTTGCGTCCAGCGGCTATTTTTTCTAAACTTTGCGTGGCAGGGCGGCTATGTCTTGCGTTGTTTTGGGCAGCGTATACCTGCTACTTCCCGTTGAAAACGTCGAAATGAAGCGAGCCCTGACAAAGTCGTCCAACTTCTAACCAAGGGTAGTAGCCAGGAGGTTGGGATGTTGGGGATTTAAACCTCCCTGAAATTTTCAATTTTGTTTCCATGTATGTCACACAAATATGGTTGAACCCCCCTCCCACACGCAGAGCTTATGGCTACGTTCCTGTCTCTAACCATCGACAAGGATATAGTAGCGTGACAAGTTTCAGAAGAACATATCGGGGAGTGTAGGGGACGTTCAAATGAATATAACCAACGTAAAAAGACGTCTCTCCAAAATAGAAGAAACCTGTGCAACTGGCGAGAGTTCAGATGCCCAAAGACAGCCGCAACAAACTAGAAGAAGAATGTGTTCGCTCATGAAGCCTGAGCAGTGGTTATACCATACTAGAATTGGCGTGACATCACCCTCACGGGACGGCTCTAAGCTCTCCCATAGTAGAGTACCAAGTGCTCTAAATCGTTAACCACTTTTTCTAAACATACCATACTAGAGTACCAAGCACAGATACCCGGGAGAGCGATCGAGAGTGGGCGACGAGTAGGGCCATGTCATATGTCACAGGCCAGAGGCATCGTCGACCTCTCCTGCTGTACTTGTGGTTATTCACCAGATGAACAATTTCTTTAACGCACTGATGATGATCATGCCGTAGGTAATTGCAGTTCATTGAGGTAAATTTCTTTTGAGTGATAGTAAGAAAAAAAAAGGAGAGGCGCCACCTGGAGCCAAGAAACAGAGATATGGCCATGTTTATCAACACAAAGTTGCTCCTCAGCACATGCTGTACAGCACATGTTGCACATGGCTGTCACGACTCCAGTTGTTACCAGTATGTCCAAGGCTCGGAAAAAAAAGCTGTACTTATAAAGCAATTCCCTACACCATGTGAGTGAAAAAAAGACACTGTATATTTATTACAACACCTGACAACAATGTCGCTGGTTCAGACGTGGAACAGGCACAAGATATCGTGAAAACCGCAATGACCTCTCCTTTGTATTTTCACATATGGTTAACTTGCGTGAGTGGGAGGAAAATAATCCGACGAAGGGCTTCAGAAAAACAAGTTTGTGGCTCTATGGTGTACAAGTACTAATACTTAATGCCACTGGCATCTCCCCTCTACAACCATATAGCATGTGTTGTGGAGGAGAAAGAAGAGCCAAAACAAGGATCCAAAACAAGTGGGTACGAGCCATGTCTGTGGATTCATCATCATCATCAGGATCCATCGAGGGCCGCTACCGAGGACTTGGTCCTGCGTGGACCGGCGCACGGTGTCCACTACGGGGACAGGCGCACTGTCGATAGTACAATGTCTGCGGGACACAAGACCGCGCATACTGCGTAGACGCCTGCCGCTGAATGCCCTGCCTGCCCGATCATTCCACAAAGCACGAGCCTCAGGACAAGCGCACAATGTCCCTTGGGCCATGACCCGTGTATGACGGGGATGAAAATCAGGGGCCAGCCGTCCACGTCGTGCTACGAGCCGTTTTCGTGCAAGCCGACGAAATGAACCTTGACGTGGCGTTTTTGCGAGGGAACGGCTAACACGTGCATCAGCCGCCTCGCCGCTAGCAAGCAACGACGTGAACGCGTCTCATTGTTATAGTTGTGGTAAACGAGCCTTATTCCGTGAGGCGCGGGCAGCATGACTTTTGGTGGCTTCTGTAGCACCCCACTGTGGCAGTCTAACGTGACGTGGAACACCGACTACCCTCGCCTGACGCCATGCTTCGAGAACACTGTACTTACGTGGATACCGTTTTCCGTGCTGGTGGTGTATCTCCCGTTCAAGATGGTCTCCTCGTTGGGGCCCAAAGTGCGCCCTTATCCGATGACCCTGCTCTCTTACGCAAAGTACGCCTTCATGGCTGTACCTCTGCCTCCTCCGCGTCCTCTGCCTCAGCGACTATGGCAGCCCCCACGTGCCCCTGAGTGAGTACATGGCGTGCGTGATGAGACTGGCCGGCTGCGTGATCTCCATACTGTACCAGTATGCGGAACAGAGGCGCGGTCGACAGACCTCTAACGTGCTGTTTCTGTACTGGACACTCAACGCGTGCTGCAGCACTGCCACCTACTACAGGGTACTGCGCAACACGTTCAGCTCGCGTAGTGAGTCACTGCCCTCGGCGTTTACTTACACGGTGCAAATGATCGCCTACCCAATCATGTGGGGCCTAGTGGTACTATATTCGTTCACGGAACACTATGGGAAGAAGAAGCCCGGGATATGTCCCATGGACGTGGCGTCACCCATATCGTACCTCAGCTTCGAATGGTACACGTCTCTTATTCTGTCCGGTTACCGGAAGACGCTCAGCGTGGACGATCTTTTCCCTGTTTCCGAGGAGGTCAAGACGGTTAACAACTACAAAAGGTGGCTAAGGGTCAACAAGAATGCCGCCGACGGCAGACACCTCAAGTGGTCCCTTTTCCGTACTATCTGGGGCAACGTGATGACGACCCTAGTCGGGCAGATTATGTTCGCCTTCTTCAGGACGGCGCCGCCTGTCCTCCTGACGTTCATCATTCGCTTTGTGATTAACAAGAAAGAAGAATATTGGAAAGGGTACTTTTACGCTGCAATCATCTTCTTGACGGGCAAGGCAGGGATGACACTCTTGAGGCATTGCGACTTTCACTACGTCGTCATGGGCTTACAGCTCAAGGGCATATTGGTTCACGCGGTATACACGAAAACGCTGCGGATAGCAAGTGCCTGTTTGACGAAATACACCGCGGGGGAGATCATCAACCTAATGACTGTGGACGCAGACAAGATATACCAGACGTCCCTCTTCGTGACAGCTGGCATGGGTGCGCTTTTTATGACGCTAATGTCGGCAGTGTGGCTGTGGTTCTTCATAGGCCCGTCGTCGCTCACTATCATCGTCGTCACGCTTGTTATATTTTCCAATAACAGGAATGCTCACCCGTTTGGCAGACAAGCTGCAGCAGAGGCTCATGACATTGAAGGACAGTCGGCTCATGTTCACCAACGAAGCGCTCAGCAACATCCGCATCCTCAAGTTTTACACCTGGGAAACTCCCTTCATGAACCGCATTCTGGACATCCGCAATCAGGAAATGTTGACGATCAAGTTCTACGCCATCTTGGCGGCCACCATGAGGTTCTTCTGGTTTACGCTGCCGTTTTTCCAGTCTCTAGCCATCTTCGCCGTCTACTATGATATCGGAGGGCATCACCACGCTAGACGTGCAAACAGGATTCGTATGCATGACGCTGTGCAGCATGCTTCGAATGAATCTCGCCATGTGTCCCGACGTCATTTCCAACTTCATTCAGTCATCGGTGTCTCTGAACCGGATCGCCGAATTCCTGGAAGCAGAAGAGAAAGACACGGATGTTATCGGCAGTGATCCTGGCGAGGGTAACGCGATACGTTTTTCGAACGCCTCTTTTACGTGGACCCCCGATTCGGACGATCCGCCTTTCCTACAGGACATAAACCTGGCCATACCCAAGGGTCAGCTCGTAGGCGTTTTCGGCCTCGTGGGATGCGGCAAGTCTTCCTTTCTGAACACCATGCTGGGGAGAGATGGATCTCGTAGAAGGTAGCATCGACATTGACGGTGAAGTAGCGTACGTGCCGCAAAGTGCGTGGATTATTCACGGAACAATACGCAAAAACATCACGTTCATGAACGAATACGAGAAGTACTTCTACAAGAGGGTCACAGACAAGTGCTGCCTGAGAAGCGACTTCGAGATGCTCATGGACGGTGACAGGACCGAAATCGGCTCGAAAGGAGTTAACTTAAGTGGAGGTCAGCGCCAGCGGGTGAGCCTTGCCAGGGCCGTCTACTTGGACAAGGACATCTACCTTCTGGACGACCCTCTCAGCGCCGTTGATGCGGAGGTTTGCGCGAAAATCTTCAACAAGGTCATTGGCCCTAGAGGGATTCTGCAAAACAAGACACGCATCTTCGTGACGAACAATCTCGCGCTCCTACAAGCGGTCGACGTGATCCTTTTTCTCAACGAGGGCAGGGTTGTGGACTTTGGAAGCTATCGTGAACTTATTTCTAAAGGGGGTGACTTTGCCCGTGTCATTCGTGACTTCTCGAGACAGCGCGGTGGTGACGATGGTGGCAAGGCCGACATCGGCGTGATGACGAGCAAGATGATGTCCAGCATCGGCGACAGCTGGGACACCAACAACACTGTGTCGGCCGTCACCAGGGCGAACGCGCTCGTCTGCGCTGAGGGCGTCGAAGTGGGCTCCATCAAGAAAGAGGTGCTCATCAACTACCTTCGGCACGTGGGCTGGCTCATAGTCCTACTCGCCTTCAGCGGTTACACGCTCTGTCGAGTGTTCGATGTGGCGTGCGGCCTCTGGATAAGCAGTTGGAGCCGGGACTCGTACCTACCCAAGGAAGAACAGACGGTGGCGAGAAGGACCCATCGGATGATCGTGTACGCGGTGCTGGGAACCCTAATGGGCCTTTTCGCGTTCCTGGGTACGTCCATGCTCAATTATGGCACCATCAGGGCTTCGCGATCACTACACGAGAAAATGATGGCGTGTATGTTCGACGCGCCCATGTCCTTCTTCGACACTACTCCCGTGGGACGCATCCTGAACAGGGCGGGCAAGGACATTGACCAGTTAGACGTGCAGCTGCCGCTCATGTCGAACGTGTTCTTCGAGCTCTTCTTCCAGCTCATGGCTATGGGCGTCCTCATATCAGTCATCTTGCCGGAGTTCCTGATCGCCGCGGTGCCGTTGGCTTGCCTCTACGTCTATATGCAGAGGTTCTACCTGCGCACACTGAGGCAGCTAAAGCGTCTGGAGGGCGTTACCAGGTGCGTCTGAACGTTGCCTCTACTCGTTATTTAGAAAAAAAATGGCCCCGAATCGGCATGTTACATTGTATATGTCGTCGAAAGACGATGGAGAGAGTGAACAAACGTTTATTTGATGTACTGCGCAAGAAAATTGGTGAATGGTATTCTGGAGGCGCTGCGTTAGTTCTTCGAGCGTGTAGCGAAGGCGAACGAGCGCATCGAGGCACGTTAGACGCAAGCGCCATCTGGCAGTTCGAAAACGAAGGAAGGCGTGCGCGCCAGCGGAGAAAGATGCGCGCTTGTCTCAGAGGTGATAAGGTGTAGAACTCAATGCCACGGGCAGGTGTCACCATCGTGTTGTCTTAGCTAGATTTCCTGTATATGCTACCTTTAGGCAGCAGAATGGCGCCAAGGTACGCCATATTGGGTTCAAATGTCTTGTGGGAAGGCCACTCACCACCCACGTAGGAGCAGCGCTCACGCTTCAGAGTACTAGCGTTGCTTTATTTGTTTTTTTTCGCTTTTCTTTTCTATCTACTTTTTATGAGAGTACGAGAAAAACTCAGTTTCTCTGGTCACGCCTGGAAGACTTGATTTTACGTTTACGTTTTTGGCACGTAATAATGAAAAAAACGTGCGTCAGCTCGTTTAACCAGTGATACATATTTATATTTATAGTAGGCCACACATTAGCTTCGGCTTCTTTTGCGCTGTTTTTCCCATTTACACGTATCAAATTATTTTCCACTCTTGATCGCTAACGAGGGAGTTAGGAATGGAATATTTTCATTGCGTTGGGCTCGTTTGTAAACTGTGTGAGCTAACCAGCTAAAACTTTGTAGTCTTCAACTGAATCGAGCTGGACAGTGATCGAGAGTGGCCGTGCGACGCCCGCGTTACGAGCGGCTCTCGTATTACGCTCATATTACAATCGCGGATCAAGATAATCGATGTGAATCGTTGTTTAACAACCCTCTCGTGTCCAACATTCTTTTCACTTATTGTTTCAAAGCTGCATTCAAATCACGAACTAGCAGCAACACCTTGCCGATTCGAATATTTATAGTTTAAGTTCTCCCTTTATTTTTAGCGTTTTAATCGCCAGACTAATTTGGACGTATGCAGCTGACACACACTGGCCAAGTCTGCATGTGTAACGTATTCACTACTACATCTGTGGTTAATACAAATAGAGCAAGTTTTATGGGGCCGTGAACAGGGAAAAAAAAAAAAGCACGCGAATGGGTGTCATCAGAGAAGTGGAAAATGGGCACTTGCGCCCCTCAAGCCACAACAGCCTTGCCCTCACCCAAGCTAGACCAGTGCTCTTGCTCTCCTTGAACCGCGATGCAAGAATTGTTTGCAACCCCCCCACCCCCAAGAGAAAATCCTGCAGATGAAAATGGCCAAGCGTTTATTCTTTCCGACTGAACACTGGTATTTTTTATAGTAACACCCGCTGCACCAGCGTCTAATCGCATGGACTCTAGGTAGTACAATTCAACACAGAATGCATTTGCTGTCGCATTCTCGTGACCAACAGGCTACATTACAACAGGCTACATTACCGAAGAAGCGTGGCGAGAATGACAACAGCTGTTGTCAAAGCCGCTTGATTTGCCCGGAATCTGCGTAGCGTTGGCTTCTCCGCAGTGCAAATGAACCACCTATGACTACGTGATGGCGCTCGGCGAATAGGGACGCTGAACTCCTGTAGGCGGAGCAAGCGGCGTCCGGAAAACAGTGGCGCAACTCTGCTACCTAAAGGTAGCATAAGCAACGCCGCCCGCGCACGTTGAACCAGAGCCTCTTGGGCCTTCAGGTCTTGACAGCCGAGCAGGGCCGCCTCCCAGTCCTCTCTCGTGGGATTGGGGTTGGGGGGGATAGATGGATTAGACTGGCACGCCCAGACGATGTGAAAGGTGTCAGCCACCTCACCACAGAACTGGCACGTGCCATCAAAGGATGAATTGAAATGTTTTAGCACCGCCGGGCACAGTACAGTATTTGTAAACAGTTTTAAAAGGAGGCGCTCGTCAGCGCGATGCAGTCCCTTACAAGGGTCTGGATAGCGCCGGTGCTCCTCCTTGTAGTAATTGGTAATATCTTTGAATGAAAGGGCCGAATTGTCTGATTGCGAGTAGGCTTCCAAAGACAGGGAGATAGCCCGGGAAGAGAGTGCGCGGGCGGCCTGATCGGCCTGTTCGTTACCCCTGAGTCCTTGGTGACCGGGTGCCCAAACCAGATTTCGCGGAGTTGGATTAACGTATCGGCAGCCGGCGTCCGGTAAAACGTGGCGCAACTCTGCTACCTAAAGGTAGCATATACAGTAAACTCTAGTCAAAGCGTTGGAAGCACTTACCTTTTTGGAGAACATTCACGTTGGCGCTGTCAGCGCAGCGTGATAAACACTAAGGTCCTTAGAATTAGTTGTGTGTGCCTTCTCTAGTATAAAGGCACACATACAAAACATCGACGTGTTGTTATGGTGCCTCAGATATGCACAATAATTTCTTTTTAATTGACAATCGCACAAGTGTGAGCGCTGAATCTTGATCAATATTGGTGGACGCTGAGGATGGGGTTGGCCGTTTGATGCCGTTTGAGGTATCGGTAAGGGCGGACAAACAGACAAATGTACAGACAGACAGACAGACAGACAGACAGACAGACAGACAGACAGACAGACAGACAGACAGACAGACAGACAGACAGACAGACAGACAGACAGACAGACAGACAGACAGACAGACAGACAGACAGACAGACAGACAGACAGAAAGACAGACCAAAATTTTTTCGTCGAAGGTCCCCAAGAAAGACTATCGTCTTTAAAAAACGTGACTATATACGTAGCCTTACTAAGCCTCACCTTTTTTTTTTTTTGCAGAATGAGTACACCGATACTTATTACGGTGACTCCCATCTGCATTCGTCTTAGCGAAGTTGCAAAACATAATTTTGTAGCACTGATAAGCCGCTGGACGGAAACGAATCAAAAAGAATAATTTCATGGATGGATATCATAGAAACGTATACCCGCGTTTTTGTAGTGCATGAGAGCAGTACACGCCGTCACGGCGATACAGTAGTTACAGTGCTCAAATAACCAAAGGTTGCCGGATCAAATTTCGGCCGTGGTGGCCGCATTTTAGGTGGAGGTGAAAACGCTTGAGGCCGGCGTACGCAGATTTAGGTTCACGGTAAAGAGCCCCAAGTGGTAGAAATTTGTAGAGCCTTCCACTATGGCGTCCCTCATAATCATATCATGGTTTCGGAACGTAAAACCTCAACAATTATTATAAAATGAGGGCAGTGTACGTCATCAAACGGGAACCAAACAGTGCGCATTAATGTTTGTACAGCACCGAGCTTATTGTGGCTAACTGCTCTGTTGCCCTACTTACCTTGTGCTCCTCACAATGTGTTATAACCTGGCAATCACGTGACTATAAGTCTTGTTTCGTGTAAAATGTCACATTACTTTGTTACAGCCCCCGCCTTATGTAATGTCTACAGACCTTCAAGGTTACATTAGGTGAAATGAACTTATAAACACACTTTCCAATTCTTTGCAACTGTACCGGCCAGCTCTAAAGTGCTGACATTACAGTCTGTTCGACATGTCTCGCAAAACAGATGGATGTTACAGCTGGCCGCTATTGGTACATTCGTTTGAATCCCAGGTCACCCGTTGTGAACACGTTCGGAGAGACCCTGGACGGTCTGAGCAGCATACGGAGTTACAACGCCGAGCAGATTTTCATCGACCGCTTCCTAAACGAGGTGGACGTCACGCAGAACTGCTCCTTCTCGCTACTCATCTCCAAGCTGTGGATGATCAGCCGGCTGGACCTGATCGGCTGCTCACTCGTCGTAACCACCGCCATCCTCATCATTCACTGGCGCCAGACCATCAGTGCCGGCACGGCGGGCCTTCTAATGTCCTACATTATCACGTCCACGTTCGCCTTCAACAACATTGTCCATTTCGCTGCCGAGTCGGAAGCGGCCATCGTGTCCTCGGAGCGAGTCGAAGAGTACTCCAAGATCGAGGGCGAGGCGGCACGTTACGTCGAGCCTGGTCCGCCAGAGGACTGGCCCCACAAGGGAGTCATCTCATTCATCAACTACAGCGCGCGATACAGGGAAGGACTGAGACTGTGCTTGCGCGACGTGAACGTGGAGTTCGATGCTGCCGAGAAGGTCGCCATCGTGGGCCGCACGGGCGCTGGCAAGTCGACGCTCACGCTGGCCATGTTCCGCATGATTGAGGCGGCCAAGGGCAGCATCATCATCGATGACATCGACATCTCCAAGATCGGGCTGTTCGACCTGCGCTCGAAGATAACCATTATCCCGCAAGAGGCGGTGCTATTCAGCGGAACGCTGAGGATGAACTTGGACCCGGACGACGAACACGAGGACAGCAAGCTGTGGGAGGTCCTGGGCACCACCAACTTGAAAGAACGGTTCCCGGAGGGCCTCGAGACGGCCATCACCGAAGGTGGCGCCAACATCAGCGTCGGACAGCGTCAGCTGGTGTGCCTCTGTCGCGCCGTGCTGAAGCACTCCAGGATCCTCATCCTGGACGAGGCTACGGCCGCTGTGGACGTTGAGACAGACGCACTCATCCAGCGGGTTATCCGATATATGTTCAGAGAGAGCACGGTGATAACAATCGCGCACAGGCTTAACACCATCTTGGACGCGGACCGAATAGTGGTCATGGCGGAAGGTGAAGTGATCGAGATGGGGCCTCCCAACGACTTGTTGGCGGACTCGTCCACGGAGTTTTACAGCATGGCCCGAGAAGCCGGCGTAGTCTGAAATTTGTATCTTACGTTGTGTTTAAACAACGCGCATGGCTCGTTATGTGCTTTGTTCGAAAGGCGTATGCCTGCCTCTTTACGAAGTGACAGGAAATTATGAACGTGTCGGAAAGTAATGAATGTCACACCAGCGCGGCGTTTGGCAATTCACTCTATACGCCGCTTAATTAACACTAGATAATTGAGACGGAATATAAGAAATGTTACCGAAAGCTACTTATACAAACTGTCGGGGAACGTTGTACTCAAACATGTGTGCCGACAGTGGTAATGGCGTGATTGATGCGCGTAGTAATACCACGGAATATGTAATTCGAAGTAATCAGACGCTTTACAGATAAGTAGATAGCTGTGCTTTTTGAATTTGCGTTCGACTGAAGCGAACACACACTACGGTTTTGCTGGCATATACGCAAGACTGCCATGCAGTGGGCAAATAGGCAAGGTCATGCGACACTATCGCGACGTGCATGCGATCGTTCCGTGTTACCGTTGCCTCCGTGATTAGCTCTGGCAATACGGCATGCTGCCGGAACTAATCATGGAGGCCACGGCGTAACCTTTCGAGATGAACATTATGGTCGGAACTGTTACGAAGTCTTGAGACAGAATAAGTTTACACGGAGGTGGTTTTAGAGAGTTGTGTTCAACAAGCAAGACTTCCGAATAGTATGCGCGCAGCCTTTCGTTTTGATAATATGCCTAGTTTTATGCTCGAGTTCCCTTTGTTACAGAACAAAAAAATGAAACGACGTGCTTTCCAGAACAATCTGCTTCTAGCTTAATAAAAGTCGCTGCATGCTAAACATTGCCACACGTATTCGGAAAAGCAAAAGCACGAGACACCACATTAGTGAGTATCGAAATGCTCTCAGCATGGAAAGCAGAACAAAATGAACACGCTAATGGGTAACCAAGGGAGCGTAAAAATTTCGAAGTTTATGTTGAGACTGTAACTGCAAAGCTGCCCTGCAGTATACGCTGATGTTCACGAGAACCGAGCTGTTTTAGTATGAGTAAGGAAGCCGGAGAAGGTTGCTTCAGGCCACTTTTACTTCATAGCACTTTTAGTCAAAAGAGGCAAGAGAAGTTGCTCATGACAGCTGAATTATAAGACGGCGTTGGACAGAAGGGAAGTCCGGCGAATGGGACAGAGGTTTGTCGTAAGGCAAAGACAGGAACACGTTCGAGGAAAACGGTGGTTGCTGTCACCAGTCCCGATGCTTCGAAGGTCCAGGGGCACAGATGTGCGCTGAATTCAGATGAAACGGCGTGCATTGAGGAGGCGTGGCGGGGTGAAGAACGTGCTGAATTCAAAAGCTTAAGTGCATCTTTGATTAAACGGCCGTGCGGTGCGAAAGTTCTTTGAGAGAAGGAGAGTAGACAGAAGGCGAGCTTAAAGACAGGGTTTTCAGGATCAAGGCAGTTTGGTTCTGAGATGAGCGAAATAGGACACCTCACGTTGAACTGGATTTGAAGCTTAGGTAAAAGGGCAGTCGAAGGGGTAGCGGCGTCAGTAGTGGCAATAGGCGCCGAAGGCGGGCAACTCCTGCGTCACCACGTTGCGGTCGTCCAGCTTGCCGAAGCCGTTCTTCTTCTTGCGGCGCAGGTTGTCGATGGGCGATCGAACGCTGCTCCATGACGTCGAGCTGCCCTTGTCGGTCTTCTCCTTGACGCGCGCCTTGAAGTTGCCCCACTTGCGGTCCAGCTTGTAGCCGAAGATGGTGAGGAAGCGCTTGAACGAGTTGGCCATGTCGGCCAGGGTGGACGTACCGCGCGCGGCGAAGACCGCGACGAGGACTTTGGGCGAGTGGCCTTTCGACCAGAAGGGCCCTCTCTGATGCGGTGCTGGTTTGTCCGCGACTGCGGTCCGGGAGCGGTCAGCGTAGCTTGCCTGAGCTTTTGAAAGAGAAAGCCGTTTTGCGCGGACCTTTTCCGCGTGCTCGCGGGTCACGCCACGGTTTCTTCGTCGCTGTCTTTTCCTCTGGCCTACATGGTCCAGAATTATAACGCTGCAATTGATAAGCAACACCAATTCGTTTTTCGAAATGAGTCGTATTACCCTGAGAACGCCGCCTCATATGCCCTCGTATGTCTGCTTGTTTCTTGATAATTTGATCTGGGCGCACAAAGTCTCTGGATGGTTCAAGCTGGAGTGGGCCCTGAGCGAGCAATTACCTGGTGCCAGAGGGAAAAAAATGATGAAGCTTTTAAAAATCGGTATCTCCACTCAAGCAATAGAATCATCTAAGTCGCCCGTTCATGTAAGCAATCACAGTATAGAGTGGTGCTTGATGGTTAATTCAACGTTGAAGAGGTCGAATTCTCATTCATATAGTGCGTTTTCTCATTGGTCAGCCAGCTTCGCTGACGATACACTCCAAATCATGATTGCTTGGAATATTTTCTCAAGAAAACTTTTAGTGTAATGCGTTTTTGTCGATAAGAGCTCTGATTGGTTGTTTGGTTGGTTACTCTACATTTTGGCTCGACAAACTCTGGGGGATGTCAGCCTGGGCCAAAGGCGTGCTTTATTTTTTTTTCTCTTTTCTTCTGTGAGGACATTTGCTGCGGATATCTCTCACGTCCAGACGCAATGCCATCTCCGCTTGACAGATCTCAGATGGGCACGTGTTACTGTGATACAGTTTTTCAGTAAACAGTGTGGGAGTTGGGCATAGACTTGTATGCCGCCCATAGCAGCCCTGCCGAAGTTTCCACGTACGACGGTGTGGTGGTCGCTAGTAGAACACAGAACAGTGCCGTCGTGACGTACGTCAAAAGCGTGAAAGTAATGCACACAGCTGATAAAGCGCTCCGAATATTTTCACAGTGAAGCTTTTTAAGCTGGTCGTTAATTTTGTGGCATATATGAGAAAACTAACATCGTGAAAAACGAGTATCTGCCACGAAAATTGGGCACATTCCACTGCTCACCACTGGTTCACTAAAAGTGACGTAGGCATCCATAAGCCCAACAAATGGCTGCAACGTGATGACGGCATGCCGTATACCCTGAGTACATACAGCCATATAGTTCCCTAAAATTAAATAGAAAAGACTCTGGCGCTGCGATCGTTCGGCGACCATGGGAATGATGGGTAGTATGTGGATGCGCCTAGTCTTGGTGCTTGCGGGTGGCGAACGCACTTGTGACTTCGTTTATTGTAGTGTTTCGATTTCATTTTAAATAAAAGAAATGAACCGTTTTTAACTTCGTGACCGGATTAGAATTGGCGAGCCTGAAAGATTAAAGCGATGAAGCGTAACTGATAAACTATCGCTGATTGCTGTTTCGTGACAAAACAGCTTCAAGCCACGCGAAGCCAGACGGAACGTAAAGTAGGAACGCAAAACACGAAGACTAGGCAAATCCATGTACTACCCACAATTCCCACGTTCGCTGAAGCGCCATGCATTACAGCTCCCATAGACACTAGCGCCATAGTTTCCTCTAGCGTACTTATAGGAAACTCTATGCGTACAATGGGAGAACACTATAGGGAACGGGAAAGGCAATGATGGCTGCGAGGAGACATCGAAGTGATGAAATGCCTACGCCAACGTCGACGTGCAAGTAGATCAGGGGTGCGAACGCCTGGTTTCAACGCGGGTTTCTGTCTCTGTAGTTTCGACAACCATTTGGTGTCTGTGACTGTCTGCGGTTAAACTCGCACCTGTATACATGGGCTGAGAATCAACGTAGCTAACAACTTGGCATGCCCAAAGCCGATCAACGACGTGGAAGCAACCTGCACCACCTATAGCTAAGGCCTATAGAAAAAAACCTAGACGCAACCAGATTAGCATTTAGAATCGTCCGATTTCATCCGGTTTTACAATCGTCTGGTCAAGCGGCTTAGTGGAAGCTTAGCCATTATTTACAGCGCATATAAGCTGTTATGAGCTCACAACAATTGAGTTTGGTGCCGCAGTTACCAGCTTCCACCGGTGTCTGTCTCTGCTATGAAGCACATTGATTAAAACAACCAGATTTCAAGACATGGTTCGAGCAAAGAATTTCGGCGTGGCAAGCAAGTGCTCTACTGCAGAGGAACGCCAGTTGTTGAGTCTTTTTTTTTTCGGAAATGATATGGACGTTTCTTGTATGGAGAGTAAACGCTTTAATCAATGCGATTTCGCGTAGCGGATAAGGACAATCGCTGCAGGCGTCACAGATCGGGAATTGCGTACCGAGTGGGCGGTGTAAGCTTCCCACCCACTGCACTGTACTCAACCGCGACTCATCAGTCATCCTCCTCCCATTGACAATTCACAATGTTTTCGGCTGCCAAAGTTCGCGTGCAGCCAAAGAAACACGTAGAGGGTGATTCGCTACTTGCTAAAAATGGTTTATTTATTACCTATTGGGTACGTACCTCGCAATCGTACCCGCCAGGGTGGTCCAGTGGGTAAGGCCCTCGGCTGCTGATCCGCAGGTCGCAGGATAGAATCCCAGCCGCGGAGGCTGCATTTCCGATGGAGGCGGAAATGTTGTAGGCCCGTGTGCTCAGATTTGGGTGCACGTTAAAGAACTCCAGGTGGTCGAAACTTCCGGAGCCCTCCACTACGGCGTCTTTCATATTCCTATGATGGTTTTGGGACGTTAAACCCCAATAAATATACTACCTCGCAACCGTACTTGCAGTAGGAGCCATAAGAGGGCGTACAACGGGCGTTGTGGACGCCGACCTATACCAGTTTACGCTGTGGCTCGGCAGCGCTTTCCGCGCAGGCTCGGCGTTTTTTTTGTTTTTTTTAACGGGCGAAGCTCTTAAAGTCGTGGGTCTGTCCCTGCATGCCTGTAACCGATTTGTAACCACCTAGTTGTATGACTCACTCAGCAGGTGGCGCTAGTGTCAGTGACTGACAGACGGACGGACGGATGGATGGAAGGGCAGAGAGATAGACAGAGACAGACAGACATAATGTAAATTTTGTATTGTATGATAGGTGTGTGGATGCATGTTAGATCATATAGTGTAACGGACTTCCTTTGAATCTCGACATTTCTGTTTTAACGTTTCGTGTACCTTTGTGGTCGGTCGTTCGTGTGTTTATTGGTGTCTTTAATGTTCGAGTCGTGTTTCCTATAATTTGTTCCGTACCACAATGAAATAAAATTTTCTAAGCCCGATGGTACTGAGAGACACGACTAGGGGCGTACTTCTTTATTGCGATATAGACTTTCTCATAAGGCATAATATTATGTGTTTATACATATAGAACGATCACACACTTTCTGTGCGATCGTTCTATGTGTCTAAAGTGTTACATGCGTATAGACGCCGTAAAAGTGGTGTTGTGTATGAAGTCAATCAGTGTGTTGTGGAATCGTGGGCATGTATCCAGCGGTCATAGAGGGTCGGGTCACTGTTGCGAAGGCCGGCTTGCGGTAGTAGATTTGATTTGTGGGGTTTAACGTCCCAAAACCACCATATGATTATGAGAGACGCCGTAGTGGAGGGCTCCGGAAATTTCGACTCTTTAACGTGCGCCCAAATCTGAGCACACGGGCCTACAACATTTCCGCCTCCATCGGAAATGCATTGCGGTAGTAGACGAGAGCGTTCTGCTTGTAACTTTTGACATGTCCATACGAGATACTGCATGCATATGCTTAAGATCCCTGGAACATATACAGCAGTGCGGACGCGTAGCACTCGGTGGTAAATGCGACCAGTTCCGAAAGCACTGTTTCACAGCGACAGCTGCAATGGGATCCCAACAGACGAGTTTTGTGACAGCATGACTCTGGTGTCCGTAACCGCTATCGTGTACACTGAGGAAACATAACCCAGGAAGGAGCGAGACTTGAACCCAGGCCATCTGCGTGGCAGCGGACTATTTCACAACTGAGCCACTCGGGCGCTCGAAACTCATTTGCAAAGATACCCTTGCACGTGACGCCGTGGATGTGGCTTCTGAACGTACTGGCACTCCACTGTGGTGGCTTAGATGACAAACATTCAACTGCGTGAAAACAACATGGTAGGAACGTCTCCGTGCGTGAAGCCTTCCTGCATGCGCGTGTTGCTTTGGTGGCATTAGTTTGACACCGCAAATATTACGTTCCCACATGCATGCTGCTCCAACACGGAGGTTTCAGTGACGTCAGTGAAAGATATCTTCATACCGTGCAAGGAATCACGTTAATCTATGTAAATATATCGTGGCAGAAGATTGAAATGACAACCAGTCATGACACAATGCTAACTGCGCAACGGTTGCGTGTTTCAATGCTTCCCAACCACCGCAAAGGGCTCGGCCATGATTCTTCATCGTCATCAGCCACATGCAGAACCAACAAAGCGCACATAATAACCTGAGAGATGTGTAGCTGGTACCTCGCTTTTCCGCAGAAAGACGAACAACGGCGTAATGTTTGCCGTCAATACTTCCCGAAATTTATAATTCATGGCGCAGTCCCTGCGGAAAGTCAAAGCTTCGAACGCAGTTGCTGTTGCCCCGACAGGAAGCTTTGGTCGGAATTCGCATTAGGTAGCGTTGTTATCGTGGGTGAATTTTTTTTTTTTCATCTTCCGCGTCGGTCAATACGTCCCTGTCAAATCATGCCTATCCAAGTTCGCGCACAATTCAGTCAATCACTATCGGGGAGCCGTGACGGATGTGGCGGCACCTGTGACCTTTCCGTTCCGCGACGTGCTCCCTTGTCGCACCCTGGGCGCATCGAATTAGTTCTTCCGCGTTTGATGGCGGCGCTTACTTCCGCCTCAACGATGGTGTACTTCC